CCTTGATAATGGCACTCACAGTTGGGCTTGTGTTTATGAAGTAGATCTTGCTGTTAGACTTGAAACCTAAGATCAATTCAAGGTTCTTTCCCTCAGAAGCCTTTGGTTAGGGGCTGGCTCAGTGCCTGCTAGTTTCTAACTTGTGGTATAGCATTTATATCTGTAAACACATTGGGGGCTCTGGGTAAACCCTGAGAGCCCTTAGAAATGAAGACCCAAGACCTTTCATGCTCTTTTCTTTCTGAATGATTAGGTCACTTAGTAATAACTGAGTGGTTTCTCAGCCAATTAGAGCAGTAAGTGTCTAGAACAGGGCTCCCGTGAGTCATTGGCTTGTTTTCCTGTATCAGAGAGAGAACATCTGAGAATGATTGGATGCTATTGCTATTGCTATTGCTATACAGTCTGCATAATGATGTTTTGATCATCCATGGACCACATATATGATAGTGGTCTCATGAGATTATACCACTCTAGGACGCCTGTACAATGATGAAATTACCTGATGCATTCTCAGAATGTGTCTTGTCACTGAACAATGCAAAACTGTATACTCAGCTAGACAACAACTATAAAACTTGCCTTAGAGCACTTCTTAATTTCTGCTGTCTTATTAATTTTATGTTTCCTCCTGAGCCATCTGAAAGGTATATATGTAGTCCTGTGCACAAACCCCCGAGTCATGTCCACCTGTGGCCTTGTGTCAGGATCTATGTAGAGTCACCATTTGAGAGTCTTGATGTAATACTCTGTAGTGTGATTTCAGCCAGCAAGTGTATGGGAAATACCGGAGTCAAAGACCCGGGAAATGATAAATAAAAATAAGCGGACAAGGCAAAAAATAAAAGAAACCTACACTGATGGCAACTAGCTGCATATTCACAAAGGGGGAAAGTATATTTTTAATAGCAAAATTAAGTAGGAGGTAATAGTTTTTAGGCTCCTTACTCTCTAAACTTGCTAATACTCACTGTAAAAAGAAAAAGAAATTGTAGATATCCTATATCCTTTTACTCCAGGTCTCCTAGGGGAATGAAGGACTGAGGCCATCTTTATCCCTCTTTGCAAGATTGTTCTCAACATCCTAGAAAATAAAATATTCGTTCTATTAAAATAAAAAACTTGCTGGGCACAGAAATTCAGTATCTTAGTAACTCTAGTTTACCTCACAATCTGGAGATTCCTGTATTTGGTGTGATTCCTTTCTACGTTGGCTTTTCTACTCAATTTTAGTGAGCAGAACCTATATATTATAAAAGGCATAAACTTGAGCATAAAGTTCATATATATATATATATAATTTTTTTAACAAGTGTACATCAAGATAACCTCTGCCCAGTATCTTAAAACCTCTCTCCTATGCCTTCAGCTCTCAAGGATTATTGTCATTCTGACTTATGTCAACATGGGTTAGTGTTACCTGTCTTTGAACTTCATATAAATGAGATGACATAGTGCTGCTTTGTATTTGGCTGCTTTTATGCACTATTCTGTCTATGAAGTTAATCTATATTGTTAGATGTAGTAGTTTATTTTTAACACTTACAGAATATTCTGTAGTTTGAATAGCATGTAGGTATCCATCCTATTGTTGATGGCTATTTGGATTGATTTCATTTTGGGGCTATTATAAAGTTACTGTGGCATTGATTGCCATGCTTTTGAGTGAGCCTATGTCCTTATTTTTCTTGGGTAAGAGTGGAATTTCTGGGTCATAGAGTATGAGATATTTTGCTCTAGTAGATACTACCAAACATTTTCCAAAATGATAGTAATAATTTATATTCTCTCCAGTAGCAATTCAGCATTATGATCACTGTTCTTCCTCACCAGCAGTTTGCATTTTTAAACTGCTTAAATATATTTAGTCATCCTATTGGGTATATAAATGTATCCCATTATAGTTTTAATTTGCATTTCCTTCTTGGTTAATGATGCTAAGCACCTTTCTTTGCAGTGTAATTAAGTTTTTGCTTAGTGTTTCTTATTGATTTATAGGAGTTCTTCTGGGTGAGTCCTTTGTCAGATATATGTATTTCATATACCTTCTCCCACTTTATGAATTGCCTTTTAACTCTCTTAATGGTGATCTTTAATGAAGAGAGGTTTTTAATTTTAATGAAGTCAAATTTATTTTTACTTTATGTCCTATTTAAGAAATCTTTGCCTATGGTAAAGTCTCAAAGATATTCTCTTTTGTTTTCTTCTAGAAGTTTTATTGTTTTACCCATTTGGAATAGACTTTTATATGGTATTAGAGGCCTAGTGCTATACATTGAAAGAATTATCCCTTCTCACTCTGCTGTACAGGCACCTTTGTCATAAAGCAGATGACAGTAAATTTGTTTGTTTCTTGACTATCCATTCTGTTTCTACTCTAAAATTTCTGAAATTTCATGTAACCAGTTTTAATTATTATGGCTTTATACTGTCAGTATTTAGTCCTCTAGCTTTGATATTCAAAACTGTCTTGGCTATTCTTGGCCTTTTTCATTTCTTCTATAAATTTTTAGAAACAGCTTGCCAATTTCTATACATATCCACACCCAAACTGCCTAAGATTTGGGTAGATATTTTAAATTTATAGAATAATTTTCAGAGAGGTAACATCGTTCCCTGTCAATAGTAGCTGATTTTTTCTCTTCGGCCTTTGGAGGGTAAAAAGGCACGCTCCTCTGCCTAGTTTGGGGCTGAATGAAGTCCAGGGATCCAGCATAAGACACGGTTTCCCACTGTTGTCTCATTTCCCAATGGGAGTTGTGCTGTGTGTCTTCTGGCTACACCTCTACACCTTTTCTATACCCTTTCTGCCTTGCTTTGTGCCCCGGAGGGTGACTAGTCTGCACCACTGCAGTGGGTTCCCTTCCTACTGGTTCAGTCAGTGGGAAGGAATATGGACGGGTGATTTGAAGGAGAGAAGAGAATGTGGTCAGGGTGCTTGTTTCCTAACTTCCTTCCTGCAGGGTCATTGTGTGCTGGCTGTGCCCTAGAGCAGAGGCTGTTACAGTGCCCACCCAGCAGCTGTTCTCTGGCAGCTCTCTCCATCTGGGCCTCTGCCAGTGTGATGATGATAATGGCTTCCCCCTCACCAGTGTAAGTGTTCCACACCTTGTTATTTACCACCACTTTTTCATGCTTTTGTTAAGCTCTTTCCAAACTCAAATTCTACTTGGAGCAGATTGTTCTGTTTCCTGTCAGGACCCTGATTATTACAGAAATAGAAGAAAAACAATTTTCTGGGCAGCTTTTGAAAGAACTTTGAGAATGAGTACCAGTTGTGCTGAGGGTCACCTTGCTGGGTCTATTCATAAAATGTGCCTTTGGCTAGACCTGCCGGAATGTAGCAGAGAGGCTCCATCTCTCTCCTTCTGGTGCTATTTGGAATCATGAAGGGACTCTTTGTAATTTAAAAAATCAAATCAGTAGTCTCAGAGTGTGCTCTTGAATGACAATAAGCCTTTTAGCCATGAGTTATTTTTCACTTTCTGACTTACTAAGTTGATAATGGATGCTGCAGTGTTTGTGCCTGAATCTGAGAAACATCCACAGCACTGCCTGAGGATGTCAGAAGGCGAGGTGAGAGTGTCAGACTGGAACAGACTTTAAAGTAGCAAGAAAATTGCTGCTATTTGAAAAATTTAGAGTTGAAACACTTCTGGGGACAGCAGCCTCAAGCTACTGTGAATGAGAGTGAATTATACTAATTCTTTAGTGAGTCTTACATTGAAGTCGTTTAACTCCTCTTTTGACAGTGGGTTATTTAGTTGTCTGCTTTAGGAATTAATTTTTGGAATGACATCTGTAGTGCTGGTGAGGATTGCTGAATTTCTTGCACTAAAATAGAAATTATGTCCAGAATGTCATTTGATGACACAGTAATTAACCCAGATCTGATCATCCTGGCAAATATGATAGACACTACAAGAACTGTTCGCATAGCAAATAAAACAGGATGTCACATGGCGCTTTACTTTCTCAAGAAGTAATGGTAGAATTCTGCTGCGATGAGTTTACTTTTTAATGGAATAAAGCTGTTTATGTGTTAATTTCCATGTGCATGCCTAGGTGAATTGTGTCTTTGGTTTTCACTGTCTCCTGGGGCAGCTTCTGATTTGCTCTTACCAGTTACTGTCCACCTGCCATCTATGTGTCATTAAAACCCACCCTTGTTCCATCCTCCGGCCATGTACCCTAGGAGATCACAGCATCTTTTATAACAAGAGTGGCAAAGTGGTGGTCATTAAACATGCTTATCCCATGTATTATTTTTTTAAAGTTTTAAATTGGGAAACACAAGTTAAAAAAAATCTCAATTTTTTTTTTTGAAAAATGTCATGATCTTAGAACAGTGGGCCCTTTACTCTAGCATGGTGATGATTGGCTTCAAGGGGGGCAGGTACTCAGCAGGCAGCCATGGTGTCCCTTGGCCAGCCTTGTTGGGTTATGTCACCTACCTATGGGACATGCATTAATGTGTGTTTAGCACATCAGGGATCATTCTACATAGTAAGTGTGAGTAAGGGAAATAACTTGTGTTTCATTGTTTATTGTTGATATAAGAAACCTAAGCTCCAAGAAGCCAGAAACCTTCTCTATTTGTCTTGGTGTATCCCCAGTGTTTTGTAAATGTTTGTTGAATTGAAAGATTAGGAAGATGAATCTGGCAGTGGTATGCAGGATACTTAAAGGAAGATGCTGAATGTTGGAAAAGGGTTATAACCTTAAGCAGGACTGAGAACAGACTGAGACAGTGAAAGAGGAAATTGAGTAACAGGGACCTTGAGAGACAATGCAAATAAAAGTCCTTTGGATTGAGAGACTGATGGATGGGAAGGAAAGAAATGAAAGATGAGTTTGGGACCCTAACAAGAAATGATGCCATTAGTACAGTTAGGAAGTTGGTATGCCTTCGGATGTAAAGAACCCAAGGATTATGTCTGTTGATCTGACAAATGCTAGTAGCTATACTCAGAATTTTCCCCTTACATTTTTAATCCCAGAGCTAAGACCATCAAGAATACAGTCTCTGTGAATCTGGAACTGACAGCAGAAGAATGGAAGAAGAAATATGAAAAAGAGAAAGAGAAAAACAAGACTTTAAAGAATGTTATCCAGCATCTGGAGATGGAGCTGAACAGGTGGAGGAATGGTAAGGATGAATGGGAAGGAAGAAGGATTTATTGTGCTTTCTTTGTGACTGCTGGCATCCTGGGAGTTACTTGGGATCATGGTTGAGCTTGGTCTAGCCTTCCCATGACTGTGTGGACAGCAGATGTTTTCTTTTTCTTGACATGATGCCTCACCCACACCCTGTCACTTGGCTGGCACACCTTGGGGTAGGCAATTGTCTATTTGCAAGGTTGCCTTAATCCATTTCTAGTGAGATGCTGTCTATTACTGGCCTTCACTGTCTTGTTGCCCTATTTGAGGTTTGGAGGGCAGTTCTTGAGACTTGGTGGCTTTGATTGCTTTTAACTAAATGAAAAATGTCATTCTGTCTGATGGGTTTTATCACTGATTGGGGTTAAAAGTCACCTCTGGCAAATACTTGGCCTTTTTTTTTTTAAAAAACCTAACTCATAGTCATGCTCTGCTTCTTCAGAGACAGAAATAGAGGGCTCCTGAAGAAGCCCTGTGCTAAAATGAAGTCTTTCAGGCTGGTTTCGTGACTAGTTTTCCTTTTTCCCCAAAAACATTCTCTTTGGTTTGTTCTACTGGGAGAAAATATCTCAGAGAACTGACGTGCAGTGGATGGGCGGGTTGTGGGTGAGGTGCTAGGAGGGGTTTCCAGATTGAAGTGTAGACAGCTTATTTTAGTGATTTTAGCATTGTGATGGAGGTTAGAAGGTAGAAGTCTTTTTTTCCCCGCTCTGACATAAGGCAGGCAGGCATGTGTGTGCAGGGGGATGGTGGATAGGTGGAAATCATTCCTCAGATCTTCAGTGTGCATCTCTAGTGCTGCTACAGACCTCAGCCTTGGGTAAGCATAGAAGCCAGGGGGCTGCAGGTAACACCATCTGTTTATAGCTGCAGCGTGAGCAGCACACCTTGTAATTATATATTTGCTGCTGCTTTTTGCCCATAAGGGTGGGTGTCAATGAGATTCTATTTAATTGAAAAACAATTATGTGGCAAATGAGAATTCAGAGAGAATCAGAAAATGACCTAGTAGCCTAAATAACAGGATTCTTGTCTTTTCAGAAGAATTTCTAGTTGCATGTGTTTCAAAAGGTGCAAGAATAATTGAATAATTCAGCACCTGGCTTTGGTGTATGATTCCTGGCAATTTGGCAAGATTAGGAGGGTGGGAGGGTGGAAGGCAAGATGGGGGGGTGGCTGTGTGAAATTTTATTTCTGGAATTCTCTTGGGTCAGTTCTCTGTTGGATGACTGGGACATTCAGTAAGGCCTTTTGGTACGGGGTCGGGGGACAGGCCTTAAATGCATTATGCCCTGGACAATTAACCTTGTTATTTTCCATCCTTTCCCATGTCCTGCCAAGCTCTAGCAATCCAGTTTTCCTTCCTGCATCAGTGCAGCCCTCTGGGGTCAGCCTCCTGCCTCATTTGTCTGACTCACTGTGTGCCAACATCTTTTTGGGCATCTATCCTGTTCTTGGCCTTTTTGTTTATCATTGTTTTAACTAAATGTCCCACTTTACCTATCTTGAAAATCTACTAAAAAATTTACTGTTTTCTATGCCATTGGGTGAGATTCTGTGTAGGCTCTTAAGTTACATAATTAGGGAGAAGCAAGGCATAGTTTCTGGCACATAGTAGAACAGTAATAAATGTATGTTAAATAAACATGTACTTAACATGGGTGCTGGAGATTAAAGGGTAAGCAGTCAGATGTGATCTCTGCTCTGAGCAGGGAGATAACTCCAGTCATTATTGGCAAGTGCGTGGTGATACTATGTGTTGTATACCAAGAAAGGGAAGTATATGGTGCCAAGAGTGATTACACTGACCTCCAGTGAGAAGCCAGTGAAGGCGTCTGGAATGAACATCATAGGCAACAGAGCGGAGAGTAACAGCTCTTAGCTGAGTGAATTAGGAGATGTGAGGGTGGGGATGCAGCTGAGAGAGTCCAGTTAATTCACAATGGCCCTGTATGGTGAAAGAACAGTATGGGAGTGTCTGGGGTCTGAGATGGGCTTGGAGTAGATATGGATGGTCCTGGAAAGGCTATCCACAGTCCTCACCTAGGATTTTGGTCATTATCTTGGAAGCAATGAGGAGCCATTCCATGGTAGTACCCTGAAGAATGTATAGGATTTGGGTTTCTGAAGATCCATTGGTTGTGTTGGGGAATGGACTGGATTGAGCCGAGAAGGAACTAAGGTTGTTGCCCAGGGTTGTGAAGATGGCAGTTGAATTGAGAGACATGGCAATAGAAGCAGGAGGGACGAATGGGCCGAAGAGATATTTGTCAGGAGAAATGAGCAGGATTTAGTGAAGAATTGGGCACGGGGAGAGGGAGGTGTCAAGGACAGCTCCACATTTCAGTTTTGGTCAAGTTGGAGGAAGGGCAGAACCATCCCCTGAGACCTGAAACATGGGAGAAGAGCCAGACTGGGGGTGAGAAAGACAAGGAAGAGAATCAAGGAGTGGTGTCTGGGAAAATGTGAGAAGAGGGGTTTGGGTCTGAGGTCTTGTTGCTTGAGCTGGAGAGAGAAATTTGAGCATTGTCAATCTTGAATAATGACTGACTATGTAGGCAGGGGTGAGGCCCCTGTGGACCATGTGGAGGGTGGATTGGAAAGGAGAGTAGGGAGAGAGTTTTGCAGGAACCCCACCACTCCTATTACTACTGAGTAAAATGGGACTAGGGAAGGGGAAGGATTTGGCAGAACTCTCCTTCCTTCCAAGTTAACACTTGTATTTTAAGGTGATTTTTCTGGGGGCAAAGTTTTTAAATGTAGAGAACCTCTGATGATACAAATGTCAGGTTGGGAGGAGGGTGATGAGGGGCAGTAAGGAGACATGGAGTGGCCCTTGACCAACTCCGAGTGCAGAGCTACCTCAAGGATTAGCTGCATAGCACTCCATGGGCAATGAAGATCATACATACAACAAACCAAGCCAGGGTTTCTGTTATGTTCCTGGGGCTGGGCGTTTAATCCTTTAGCAGTAGCCCTTAAGGTGCCAAGAGGTCAGATGGCACCCTCAAGGGGCTCTGTCTCTGCTAGAGGTGAGCTCTGATCTGAGGGGGCCTGACTCCAAAGTTCCTTCTCTTTTGTCATAGGTACTACCTGTCAATGGAGCTAGCACTAGTGACTTGTGTGTGGGCCAGTGAGGGGACCGGAAGCCCTTCAAAGACGTCCCATGTGTCCGTCCTGATTCCTCATAGCTGAAGTCTTGAGCGGATGGCTAGTGGTATAAACTAGACAGGGGGACACTGAGGAGGGAACAGAGAAGAGACAATGCCTTCCACTCAAATTAGAGTAGAAGAATATTGCCAGCTTTCTCTTGAAATTTGACACACACACACACACACACACATTAGCCTGTCGGCTGTAGCTACTTAATTTACTTAAACATTTCCTGAGTATTGATGTTTCCATGTTGGGGCCTGAATGAGTTATGGAGAAGCCTTGTTAATTGTGTGCACTCTCCCAGGGAAAGAGATTTCTTTCCTTACATGGTGTGTTTATAATTTAAAAGTGTCATTGGTATCCTCCAGCTGTGAGAGAGCAAGGAAGGAGTGCAACAGAGAAGTTGTGTGTGTGTCCATGTGAGTACATATGTGTGCTTGTGCTTTTTCCTTCTTGCTGTCATAGAGAATGAGGTAGGAGAGGAATAAGTCAGTTGCAATATAAGGAAGGGAGGCATGTCTGATTCAATTGGCACTGACTGGACTGGGCCATGGGAGGGGCATGCCTGGTTGGATGTCATTTAAAAGTTGTAAAACACTATCCTGTCTATTATATACCTACGTACCCTGGTTCCCCCTGATCCCTATTTGTACCAATTCTCAATCCCTTGTAGCCTGATGGATGCTGTGGATCTAATGCTTAAATTCATATGTTGAAATCCTGCCCCTCAAGGCGATGGCGTTAGAGGTGGGGCCTTTGGGAGATGATTAATTTCTGAGGATCACAGCCCTTATATGAGTCCCAAGGGACCTTGCTTTTCTCTGCTCTCTGCTATGTGAAGTCAGAATGAGAAGACACCGTAAGTAAACTCAGAAGAGGCTGCTCCCCAGAACCTGACTGTGCTAACACTCTGATTTGGGACTTTTGGCCTCCCAAAATGGAGTGAATAAATATCTGATCCTTACAAGCCTGCCCAGCCGATGGTACCTAGTTATAACAGCCCCAACTGGTGAGGCCAGTGGGCTACATCTGCATGCAGTATAGGCAGTCTTTTCCGTGGGGGCAGAGTTGACCTTTGATTCTCAGAGCAGGGCCTGCATATTCTGCACCAACCCTTATTTCATTTCTGACATTGCTATTAAGACAGGATACCTCTGGACATGTACATGGTGGCTCAAGGAGAGTCACACCTTGTTTTAATAAAGGAGGCAGGAAAAGGGCCACTGGCCTGGTTCAAGCCCTCCACTGTGCCAGTTACTGTCTTTGTGTTCTAAGTGACAGAAATTGACCTTGCCTAGGTTAAACAAAAAGAGAATGCATTAGAAGGATCTGAGTGATTCACAGAGTCAAAAAACAAAACAAAACCAAAACAAGAAAACAACAGCAAAAAAACACAAACAGCTGAGGAAACAGGCTTGGACAGCCAGAAACTGGAGCTAATACAGGCAAAAGAAACAAATCGGCAGGTCTCAGGGGACCATGCCTGGACTGCATCCTCTTGAGATGTCTTTTTCCTGCCCTTGCATTCTAATGTTGGAGAGCCAGAGTCCCAGGAAGCAGGAATACTGTGCTTGGTGGTTTGTCGGCTAGGAAAAGACGGGGCACATTGATAAACTGTCTGATTAAGGCTCCATGCAGCTGAAGGGGTAGTTTCACAAAAGGAAGCTGAGGTGCTGCCATGAGAATGGTGAGTGTTGGGTGGCTGAAAAGTAACATGGCCCCCACAGTCTAGTGGTGACGTCTTGTGGGCCAGAATTGATGACCATCTTTCATCAAATCAGGAGGATCTTTGGGCACTTGAGCCTCATGGAAATGTGTTCACGAGCTTGCTTA